CTATTAGCTTTCGTTTTGTTTTGTTTCTATATAGTGATGCACAGCTGTTGGTTAGAAATTATGAGTTTTGAATATGGCCAGATATTCGGCATTCCAAATTGAAATTCAGCTCTTCACTTCCCAACTTCAGTCAAAGTTATAGACCTCTAAAATTTTGTATCCTCTCACTTCAAAAGAGCAGACAAACTTATTACTACACTTTTACCCCTCCAACCCTCTTCGCTTTCATAATTCATCACCTTGGTACCATTCTTCCACGCTCCTACAATTCCTCAGTTCCAAATTTCCACGCGTCCAATCTTATATTTCCTTTCGCGCACCCTTAAATGGAATTTTTATTCCTTCAATTCTTTCTAAATTCCTCACGGATTAGTTGCTATGGGCAGTGAAACTAAAACCGTAGTATTTTACAATACTGATTTACTAGAATCAACGAAAGGATTTAAATAATTCAGTTCTTAGTTTAAGTGTGCATAGTTTCAATTCGTAGAATGCGAGTTTCTTCAAGAATAAAACACACAAACTACGTTGAAGTCGTGGGCACTCTAAACAGTCGGGTAAGCTGCATGTAACACGCTATGATGCTTGAGGAGTGCTTCACAACACCAGCTCTACATATCCTAGCCATACTTGGTTTGAATTTAAGACTTTCAGAACCTAACGATGAGTAATTTCTGAAAACGCAAACAAGCCGAGGCACTTACCGGGAATAGAACGTCTCGTTCGATCACCAGAATTTCAACTTTCAGTTTCAGCGGTTCTTAGTCTTCAAGCGGAAGGACAGTCAAATATATTGTAACCAATTCACAAATCACGGCCACGTTACGTCTTATTACTGCCAATGGTTTCGCTCAATGCTCTGTTATGTAAAAGATAGATCTCGGAACCCTTATAACGTAAAATATCCCTTGAATAACGTCAGAGGATTCCAAATCGAAAGTTGTGGGAATAGTGACGCATACAACTCAATCCGGGACTTCTGCGCTAACCTAGGTTTGTTGTTAATCTTTAACTAACATTGCAAGTTAGAGGGAAGTACCGGAATTATGAGAGGTCAGACTAAAGGGGTCCGCAAATATAAGTTCAAGAAATGGATTATGAAATAAAATCATTGCAATACGGGCAATAGAGTTCATCACGCAATAGTCACTAGTTTTTATGGAAAAATACATATTACCATCGGTTTCTGCGATTCGCGGAAATCGTGGCAAGGTGGTCCCAGTTCATTACATAGCTTTCAGTCTCCCCTATTCAGACTTGAATATGTCCTTGTTGTTTTCTTCCAATCATGTCTTCAAAACCCCAAGTCTTTCTCATAGATCATTACTTTGTCCTTCTAATCTTTTCACTCATGGTGTCATGGTATTGATTTTGAGACATAAATAAATGGTAAAAGGGGTAAAATTGTATATTTTACGACATACAAGGACTAACCATGCACAAAGTTAATTTTGGTTTACCGTGGTTAATCACTGTATTTCCCGGGATGAGTTTCTTTCCTCTACATCCAAAGCTGTTTCTGTCTGATAATGGGAGCTGTAAAATGCCTAGGGAAGTTGTTAAAGTACGTTCTAATGAATGAGCGAAACTCCTAAAATTAAGGAAATAGGCAGTTAGAGCGACGTGAAGCCAGATGTCACGTTAGTCTATGTAGGTACGTTAATCTGTGTCACGGCGCTCTTACAAACCGCCATAACTTTGCCGTGGAATTTTCAAAGCTTTTCTTTGTTGAATATCTTGAAAAAGCAAATTACAGCCGGTCAGATTTCCTCTGTCCGTCCTTAAAATTATCCGAAATAATTATTCGCAGGATTTTCGCCCGCCAAAGGTTGGTTATGACCTCATTTTATCAAATTGCCGCTCAGAAGTCACCTTGGAAGGTAATACTCCGCGAGCAGATACGGATCTTTCCAACGAATTTTAAATTATATTTATAATATTTATAAAATTTATCAAAGCTAAAACTTGTTTTAAAGCTGTCTTTAATTTGTTAAACACGGAAGAAAACTTTCTCCAAAGAAGTTGCGCACATTGATCAAGTTGGCGACCTCAAATCTTTCTTTTTCAATTGATTTGTTTTGTTTTTTACTTTACAAGACTAAGTACTTATTGGCTGAGTGGGAGGGCTAGCATCGTATTTCTCCGTGCAATATCGATATCACCCCAGAATGAAACACCAGATCTTTTTATTATGCATTTAATGATCTTTGTCTGTAGAAGGAAATCTATAAAGAACGCATACATGTACTAATGTTGGGGTGGAGAGGGTTACGAAAGAAGACTGTGTTGGCGCAAAAGAAAAGCTGCTAAAAGAAATTTTCAGTTCAGCGTATCTCTCAACAGCAGAAAGTCTCCGTGGCGTAATCGGTTAGCGTGTTCGGCTGTTAACCGAAAGGTTGGTGGTTTAAGGCCACCCGGGGACGAATTATTGTCAATCCTCAGTGGTGAAAACTTAATAGATCCTGTAAAGAGCACTTGACAAGGTTTCTTTTCATTTTCGTAACGACTCTGGGTCCTTTGGATCCTTTTGCATGGCTGTTCCTCTTTCCTTGGTTATGTAAAATTCGTACGAGCACCTTTATTTCTATGAACACCTCTATTTCCATTGTATTATGCATTTAAAAAGTTGACTGAAACCCATCTCAAAGAATGAAAGGCGCTTACCGATACAAAACTCCTGTCTCGTTTACCAGCAGTGAAACTTCCGTCATCAACAACTCGCGGTTTAAAACGGCAAAACTATCAACTACACTGGATGACTTGACCGATCGATTAACGGCGTGGTTACAGGCTTATTATTCCCAATAAATTCGACTTATGCTTTGTTATGTGAACAACAAATCGAAGTACCTTATAGGCGGCCCTGAAAATGTGACACCGACGAATGAATGCGTAACTTCTCAATTGAAGAAGGGTCAATCATATCCGCAATGGTTATGCCGTGGTAAGCAAGGGGGAAGGTGGGTGGTGGTGCTATTGTTTATAAAAGAAGCAGAGGGAAAAATATAGTTTAACGGTGCAAACAAGAGACGGATTGTAGCAACAAGGTTTTATGAATAAGACATGCAAGGAAAACTTGACTGCACTGAGACCTGGTGTGTAGTGATTAAATAAAGAAAAACAAAACAAATTACAATAAAATGAAATGTTAGCAGGGGCGAATATCGAGGGTTCGAATTATCGGGGGTAATTTCGCAGAAATCCAGTGAATATCTCTGCTGGTTCGATTTAACTAGAGGATCCATTCAGTGAGAGCACGAGTTACCGAGAGTCGACGCTATTTTCTGGCCGGCAGACTGATATTTTCTGTCCTCAGTGTCGTATGCTCTGTACTCTCATGAAGAACGCTACAATAAGCTAATCAGAGTCCTTGTCAGAATGGTTCAAATAATTTGTTTGGCTGAACAAGACTCAAGCTGTCAAAAATATCGGACCATCGATAAAGTTCACAATCTGCAATAGTTTACAAACTGAGATAGTTCGGCGGTTGAATTTAACACTTTTGCCTGAAGTATTTTAGTCTCTAATACGGAATCTGAAAGTGAAATGTTCAGTGAAATCCGGCCAAATCGAAGCTCATAGAAAAACGCGAGTTTTTTTCACAGTACAATTAGTAAACATACTGCTCAAATTCCAGCTAATCTAAAAGTCAAGCGATCTTGAAATGCTTTATAGATCTCAAGTCTAGTGTTTGGTTTACGCTGGGCTCAGAAGACGAAACCATGTTTTGTGACACTTAGAACTTTTTTAAGCTCGACTGCCGGTCAAGGTTTTCAAAACACTAAATGGCCGGTAGTCCTAAATTCTCAGTAAATTTCACAAAATCGAAAAGTTCCGGCTAATCTAAACTATTACGTCGATTTAGAAAAGTCAAGCGATCTTGAAATGCTTTATAGATCTCAAGTCTAGTGTTTGGTTTACGAATCGAATTCGAATTTTTCGATTTTGTGAAATTTACTGAGAATATAGGACTGCCGGCCGTTTAGTGTTTTCAACACCTTGAACAGTTACCGGCCATATAGCCACAGCGGTATGGAAAAGCCGAAGTTGTTACACACGGGAACTTGTACGTCAACACGCACGCGACATGTGACTTTAAAATCTCCTCTCCTGTTACAGTTTCCTTATTTTAAGCTGTGCGATAATGATAATAAACAATCAAATTATAGACTAATGAATGTTTTGTTCCGTACATATTTGCTGATTCTAACAAATCTTCAGACTAGTAAACGACAGAAGAAAGAAACGCTACGATTTTTCGCCTTCATGCATCTCTCTAAACGTGAAATTTTTCATTCCTACAAAAAACCTCGAACGTTTTTCACATTTTTTCAGAGTAATCGGTTTAATACCATAGCAGTGAGATCTTCGTACATTTTACCTATTTTGAAGCGATTTCCTTGGTGAAAACCAAGAAAAACCGAGCTAGGGGGGGGTGGTTTACCTCCCCCCAGAAGTAACCGAAACAGAAACCAGTGTTTCTTTAAGTTTTGGGGTAGACCCTTTAAACTGGCAAAGTTTCGTTGAAATTGGTGAGATGACATGTAGCACGATTGTCTAGTGCTCTCGTGGATACACTCTTAATGCTTTAAGAAGCTATTTTGGCCCTACATTTTTTTCATTCCGTTCTGATGAGCTGTTACGAGAAATGAATTTGAAAAGTGGCCTAAAGCAGTCTTTAAGAATGAGAATATCGATTAAATTGATTCAATTCTGTTTAGCCCAGGCTTTCATAAATTCTCAGGGTGGAACTTCAAACACAATGTTCACGTTATGAAACTCTACTTAGAAGTCACGAGAACTCTGAACGGTCGAGTGAGCATGAAACACGTCTTGTCACATAACCAGAAAATGATCAAGATATGAACTAGTTAACTATTACAAACTGAATTATGCATTTAAGAAGTTGATTGAAACCCATCTCAAAGTAACTATTGCAAAATGAATTATGCATTTAAGAAATTGATTGAAACCCATCTCAAAGAATGTGAGGAGCTCACCGGTACAAAACTCCTGTTTCGTGTACCAGCAATGCAACTTCCTTTTTCACCAATCCGCGGTCTCAAAGCGGCAAAACTATCAAATACACTGGATGACTTGACTGATCGATCAACGGCGTGGTTACAGGCTTATTATTCCTGATAAATTCGACTCATGCTTTGTTGTGTAAACGGCTAATCGAATAACCCTTTAGGCGTAAGATATCACGCGAGAAAAAGTGGTGGCCTTTTAAGTCGAGAAAACGTGACACTGACGAATACATGTGTACCTTTTCAATTGAGCAACTGTCAATCATATCCAACAGTCATGCCGTGATAAACATTTTCCCGTCTCACTGAATTTATTAAAGTTCAGTGATACTAACGGCAGCGGGGTTGGGGTGGGATGGTGCTGCTGTTTACAAGAGAAGCTGGGGGAAGTATAGTTCAACGGTGCAAACAAGAGATGGATTGTAGCAGCAAGGTTTTATGAATGATACATGCAAGGAAAACTTGACTGCACTGAGACCTGATGTGTAATGATAAAAAAAGAAAAGCCAAACAAATTAAAATGGAGGTGCGAACACCGAGGGTTCGAAGTATCGAGGGCAATCTCGCGGAAATGCAGGGGATATCTCTACTGGTTCGATTTAACTCGAGGATTCAGTCAGTGAGGACCGAGAGTCGACATTGTTATCTGACCAGCAAGTTGACATTCCCATCGAGTATTGCAGCTCCGCTAGATTTGATCTGGTAAGATTGTGGAAGTAAGAGTAAATAAAGTGACAATCTAGCGAATATTCTTAACTATCATACTCGTAACCATCGTTTCTTTAAAGAAAAATTACTAATCATCAGCCGACCTGAATTGTCGTCAAACTAACAAAGGAAATGATCTTGTGGCACAGAAACAAAGCGTTGCTGTGTAACAGCTGAACAAAACATCTAAATTTGTCGCCATATCAATTATGCAAATTTTATAATAGATTATCAATGGCTACGAATATTCTTGTCAATAAAATCCTCTTAAAAGTGAATTAGTATAGGTAATCACATGATTGCGAGTGCAATTTGGAATAAATAAGCACGAGTAAACTTTTTTATATACTAACAAAATTGCACGAGCCCTAGGGCAAGTGCAATTTGAGGTCTTTGAAAAATTGACTAGTGCTTGTTTATTCCAAATTGTACGAGAAAAATCATGTGATTACGTGTCAATAATATACATGGAAGAATACGAGATTACTTATCATAATTAATTAAGCATAATTATAATAAAGTTCGAATATAACGCGCGCTCTCATTGGTTGAAAGAGCGTGCTTTATGAGAGTATAGAGCATAGAACTGAGCTAAAGCTGTCACGCCATCTGCCAAATTGTACCATGTTCGACCTTTTCCGGGACTTCTTTTTAGCTTTTTTCCGATAATTGAAAGTGAAATTTCGGAACAAGCGAGCCGGCAAGTAGTAACAGAAGAACCAAAGAAAGCTTTGTAAACATACCAGGCGCCGTTATTTATGTTATTAAAACGTGGGCAGATACGAAAATCCTCAAAGGAAAAACAAAATAGACATTCCGAGTTTTAAAGATTTTCACGCTCAGTTAGATTGCAAGCTTTAATACGTACGGTAATGAAAATCAAACACAGCCAACACTCGTATAGTCTATAGAGTTCAGAGTTCAAAAACAAAACAGAACAAAACAGAAATGGTGAAAAATATAACCAAACTGGCATAATTGTTAAAATTCATACTAATCATGACGGTGTCTGAGCAAATATGATCATGCTGAAGTCCTTCGCGGCTCACTTATCATGCCGATCTCCGGTCATCACAGTAAAGCAAACCTCAGAAACTACATCGGCCGCCCTTCGAGTGAAAAAATAAGTGCTCGCTCTGATATCCTTTCCAATGTGTTGAGTGGAAAGTCGCTTCAGTCACTGCAGCCGAGTTTTGCGGCGCTGTCATCCCGAGCGATCTTCATGTTCCGGTGAATTCGGCTGTCGTTCATTTAAAAAACACTCGCCTTGAACAGTTTGTTTTCTACCTTGTCATGTGAAAAAACCCGCGTGTTTTTATGAGCCATAATTCGGCTGAAGTTCACTGAACATTTCACTTCAAGATTCTGATTTAAAAACTTCAGGCAAAAGCGTTAAATTCGACCTGCCGAATTATTTTAGTTTGTAAACTATCGCAGAGTGTGAACTTTGATGGTTTGTAGAAGTGGGAAGAAACACTCGACTACGTCTCGTGTTTCTCCCTACACTTCTTTCGTGCCTGTAGCCGCTTCCTGCGTGCTTTATAACAGAACAGAGCACATTCTCTATTTGTTAAGCAAAGCGCGCGCATCAAGCGCAAAATAATTTATTCAAATCATGCGTTCGGTCAAAACAATCGCGTATGATCAAAACAATAATATGAAATGATATCTTCACATCTTTAAGGCACAAAAAAGTCCAAAGTCCGGCTAAACAGTTCAAGGAATTGTTCAGTCTGTGTCCGAATCACTTTCGATGAAATGGAATCGTCGTTTCCGAGGTTTAACCATGTTTTAAAGCTGGGTCGGCTCGTAATTTTCGATTTCCTTGGCAATTCCCTTCTCTGAACACCACTTTTTCCAAACAGACAACCAAAAAGTAGTGCCTTTTACAGTGGTTTCGTTGTTTGAACTGTTTTTCAGCTGCAGTGGCGAAAGAAAACCTACTTAAAACGCCGGCCATTGTTTCGCTCGTAATTTTCAAATTTTCAAATTTTGTTGCGACATCCAAGGCTCGCATTTGATTGGCTATCTGTGAGTTACTTTAATTATTGACCAATCTGAATGTCTAAATTGTTACTTTCTTTGCACTGAATTAACCCTTTTCAACACTGAATTAACTCTCTAATGCACTGAATTACCTGAAAACTGCATTTATCTTAACCAATTAGAACTGAGTAATTTTTCCATGTATATTATTGATCACGAAACAGGCTTGTCGGGATAAAAAAGTAGCCTATGTATTTTTCCTATCTCAATATATGTCTCGCTCTACGTCTACGTATCGAGCACTGAACGACGGAAAAATCGAAACACAGACTTCCTATCCTTCCTTCCTTCCTAGACTTCCTTCCTACACCTTTGTTGGCCTGAGAGTTTTAGCAACAATTTTTAATAATATATAATTTTTAACCATATTCCCACCAATAGCATAGCTTCATTTTCTGCATGTAAACCCAAACACAACCCTAATTCCTCCAATCGCTCTGACGAAGGGCTGATGCCCGAAACGTCAGCCTTTTAAGAGAGTGTCTCTGTAAGAGCGGTCCGGTCGATTTTGCTTGAGACACGGATTTCGCTCGTTTCTCGTGTGTTGTAAGACATTCATGTACCTATACTAAAACCACAATCAGTTTGATCGGATCTCTCTATTTTTCAGAGTTTTACGGAAATTAAATGTCACTCGAGCGAAGGCTTGTCGTGACACTTTTCAAGACTTTAATTTCATACAACTTTGGAGGACAATTTACAAAAAACTACGGAACTCAGCAAAAAACAAATACCACAGCCATGTATATTAACTCTATCTTATCTATCGAGGCGACTTTCGTAAACATCACGTGTCAATCAAGGAAACAGGAAGACTTGAATGACACCTTATCGGTTCGCCTAAATCAAACACGCCAAAACCGATCAAATTCAAGGTAAATTTTTGAAAAAGTGAGGCGTTCTTAACTGATCCAACTAACATAGCTAGGAAGTAGGTGCCATAGAAAAGATAACTACAGAAAAAAACTTTGCAGCCCGACCTTTACGAGAACTTTATAACTCCGTGAACTTACCTAATTTTCGGCAATCTCCAAGTTTGGCCGCCATTTTGAGGGACTTGTCAACATGAAGCGTAACCGATATGAATCAAGCAGGTAAATCTAAAACCGTCAGAAATATATAAGAAAGCAATTCAAATGAACTTTACTTTCAATTCAAGCGGCAAAATTTAAAATTGTTCGTTAAACTTACAATCCTCATGCGACCATTTCTTTCAAAAATTCAAACACTACAACTAGTGTTCGAATTCCCCTCGCCGATTCCACCGCAAGAAATAACCTGTGCCACCCAAGCTTCGACTCGAACATGAAGTACGAATCAAGTAACATAACTGCTTCATCTTCGCGGCCATATCACGCTGGTATTTTGATTTTCCGATCGACAAGAACGGTGATCAGGAATCGATCGGTTTGTTTACCTGGTAAACGTGACCGCTGACCAGCTGGTAAGTGAAAACAGCATAGCGCGGGGTGGGGTGGTTGGCGGGCTTATCGTCATAAGACATTCGAATGCATGCTCAAAAAGCTCTAGGACTATCAGTCTAAACAGTGAAGGCATGCTTTGTGGTACAGACAACTTTTATTCTCATAACTTTCTCCTCTAAATTAGAACTGGTATTAATTAATAGAGTTATCAATATATTTTTAACCGGGTACGCGTATAACCTTTTTGCTTTTTTGTCATCAGTGGTATAAAATAAAATGTCTTTTCCACCAGAACCTTTTATTTATGCCCCATTGCACGGAATGAACACTATACTTAGAATGTTTGCTCTAAGTAATTTTTTCTGTTCCCAAGAATGTATGCAAAGTGATAGAGATTTGATTCATTCCGCTGACACGTTCTTTTAAGTTATGGCGCGTGCAGGTTTTTTCTATCAAAAGTCGCGCGTGCAACACACCGGAATTGAAAATTCGTCGTAAAATTGCACGAACCTTAGAATGAGTTTAGGCAACTTTGACTTCTGGCGAGATTAAGAGGATGGTTCAAAGGACCCCTTGAGATTTTTTTCAGGACTGTAACTGAGATTTGTTAATAACTATGATAATCGTCATCATTAGCGGACGGTGCTTTTTGCCCATTGTTGTCATCATTATCGTTATCACGCCGGAAGAAGTATAAAGCCGGCACGTCGCCTTACCTAGCTACACAGAAAATTGTTCTCTCTTTTGCTCCCCTTGGATCCTGGAAACTGTTACTATTAAGACGATCAACAAGAAAGCCTTTATAATTATAGAAACTTTTAATTAACAGAATGTAGGAAAAAATCGGTGGGGAGAGTTTTTCGCGTATCTTATAATCTGAACGATAGTTTTAAATAAAAC